TTTTTTTTTTAATTTCAAAAAAAATGTTTGTGTCAAGTCATTTTTATTAAATATTTCTAGAATTATTTTTGAACTAACTCTAACTATATTATCATAAAATAATTATTATATTTATATTTGATTTTTACTACATATAAAATATAGGGTTAGAGTTGGTTTTAAAATAATGAAAAAGTTTCTTTCTAATTTTAAATTAACTCTAATCATATTATTTTGACATAATGAAGAATTACATAAATCTAATAATTATATTATAATAATATAGTTAATTTTAATAAAAATATCATTATAACATTTTAATAAAAATAAATTTCATCTCAATTTAGAGAGGAACAAAATTGCTTAATTTTAATAAAAATATTAGTATAACATTTATATAAAAAGTTAAATTTGGTCTCAAATTGGAAAGAGACAAAATTGCTAAAAATAGTAAGATTGAATTAAATTAAAAGAACAAACATAAAAACTAAATGAAATATAAGACATTGACATGTAGCACAGACACTAAGACGTGACACTATTATTTCTATGTAACACGATATTGACTCGACACGTGAATAATTTTTTCATTAAAAGTAAAAAAAATATATAAAAAAAGGAAAGTTAAAAAATAAAACATGACATATCATATTTATATGTTGTTAATTATTTAGATGACATTAACAAAAAAAGACTAACTTAACCAAAAATTAACGAAAATAGAGATCTTATTAATCACGAAAAAAAAGAAGAAAATCATATTGAATAAACTCAATGAAAATAAAAACTAAATTAATATTAAACCTAACTACAAAAAGAAACATGGGGTGCAAAAAGAAATCACTTTTATTTATATTGTATTTTATATCTGTTTTTTCTCACTAGCCCAAATTGGCCCAGTTGTCCTAATAGTAGGACCATGCGATTTCCATCCAACTTTTCGCTATTTTTATTCTATGATTTGTTTGTTATTTTCCCTTAAATATTCTGAATAGAAATCTCTATATTATAATATACACAATATAAAATTTGTTTTGATAATGTTAGAAGCTGCACCCTCTTTGAGTAGGAAAAAAAAGCATTTTCGTTAAGTGCTGTTATTTTTGGGAGAAAATAATTAAGAAAAACAAATAAATAACTATTTTTCATAAATTAAAATCATTTTTTTCGTAGTTAATTGAAGAAGTTATCTCATTCAATATCTTTAAATCTATATTTTTATTTCTGTATAAGTTAGTTTTTAACTTATGGAGATAATTTTTCTCTTTGTTTTCTCTTTTAGAAGTGTATACGTAAAAGCTTGTCCAAATATGTCTATTTGTGGAATAAATATGGACAGTTTCTTTTGATTAATATTTTTTTACTTGATTGAGTACAACACCATGCTTATCTTAAGTATAACTTAATGTTGTAACTTAATACCTTTATTATAGTGAAATTTGATTTTTCACTTTGTAAAACACAATTTTTACCTTTTGAATTTATCAAAATTAATTTAATGCAAGTTGTGGAAATTCCTAAGAAATTCCGAACAGCTTTTATGAGTAAGCTATTTATATTCCTACTGTACGTCTCATTCAAACTAACCTACCCAAGAAAAACACCTTGTAATGAGTACTTTTAATCGACGTGGGACCTCCGAAACTTCCAAGAAACTTCTTTTCTCGCATTGTCAATCTTACATAAACTTCTTGGATACTTTCTCAGAACATGTTTTCCAATGTTTCCAAGAAACACAAGAGAAACATCTCAATCCTCACCTTACTTTCCACGAAATTCCTCTTTGCACCCAAATTTAAGTGAATTCATTTCCGACATCTTCCGTCACCAACATCATCAACCCCATTCCCTGATCATCTCACAACACTGTTCCAAATTGTTGTTGAATTGCAGTTTTTTCCCATTTTTTTATATCATGATCATGATTGTAGTCAATTATCCTTGCAAACTCTTCTAAAACCTTGATTCCAGTATCAAAATTGAACTCAGAGTCTTTCCCCACATTTTGTCACTCCAGTTAAATTTGCAGTCACGTAACATAACACTACATTCAAGATTGTAGTCATCAGAAACTACAAAAATCTTGACATTATTGTAATCCATATTACAGTCTCATACACTGCAAAGATATTGGAACTGTGATTCAGATTACAGTCACAGACACTCCAAAATCTTGACACTGTTGAACATCTCAAGAATCTTCAAGCTACAGCTGAAACTGTAGTTGCAGGCACTTCAAAAAATTTGAAATTGTTACAGTCAAATTTCCAGTAACAGACACTACCAAAATCTTGATACTGCTGTCAAAATTTACCATTTTCTTAAACCTTATTCTCAAAACAGAAAAACCATGACTGCTTCATCATCACTTCACCTTCTTCCTCTGACAACTTCTTCATTCGATGAAGCACTCCAAAAGCTTAAAAGCGTGTTACCCTTCTTTGGATTCATCAACATGACGATCAGCAGCATGGTCACGATCTACAGCGCGCACAGAAACAACGACACTCCCACCATCGTATTCGTGGCTTTCGTCTACTTCGGATCCTTGTTCTTGGACTATTGCTTCCGCTTGTACCACTCTCTTCCCCCATCTTCGCCATCTTCTCACAACATTAAGGTCGTGATCTGGGTTTTGATCAGTTCCATCATGTTGGGGTTTGCATTCGAGTTTTCAACTTTTATGGGCTTTCTTGAGTCTGTGTTCTTCTTCGGCCTTGTGATCAGTGGCAACTCGTATCTGTTCTATGTGTACTTCATTTGGGACAGTGAGAAGAGTGGTGGTAGTGCTTGCAACAGTGATGATTGTTGTGAGCGTAAACCATTGACAGAGGTTAAGGTTGTCGATGAAGTGTGATAAAGGTACCACCAGAGAGTGAACTAGGTTGAAGCAATGTCTCTGTTTTGATATGAATAAATTCGTTTTACGTGTGTTTGTTTATAAGCAAAAAAGTGTATACCGTGTTATCAACTACTTGGTTTGTGTATT